AAAAAAAAAAAAAAAAAAAAAAAAAAAAAAAAAAAAAAAAAGGCAAGGCATGGCATAGCGTGGCTGTAGTCCACTTGGGAAGCGTAGGGGATAGGATTATTGCCTGAACCCAGGAGGTGGAGACTGCGGTGAGCCTAGGCGACAGAGCAAGACGGGTATAAAAAAAAGTCCGTAAAACAAGTAAAATGCCAGGATTTCAGGCCTGGTATTTGGGAGGGGTGGGGCGAGGAGTGGGAAGATTTCAAAGGAGGCTATCAGTTTTCAGCCTCCTTTTCCAAACGGAACCCTCCTTTTTCAGACTGGTGGGGTGGGGAGGGTCCCCTGGGGCAGGGCCTGGGCTAGGGTGAGGCCAGCCAAGTGTCCAGGGTGCAGAATGGAGGAGGCCCTCTCTCCGGTGCTCCACAGTCTTAGAGCTTGGGTCCCGGCTCTGCCCTGGAGGCTCTAGGCTTTCTTTCCACTTAGGACCCGATCTCGGAAAGGAAAAGGCTCTTTCCTGAGACTTCCAGAAAAGTTCCGGAATAGGGTTTTGTGTGTTTTTTTTTTTTTTTCCTGAGACAGTCTCACTTTGTTGCTCAGACTGGAGTGTGGTGGCGCGATCTCGGCTGACTACAATCTCCATCTCCTGGGTTCAAGTGATCCTCCCGCCTCAGCCTCCTCAGTAGCTGAGACTATAGGTGCCCACCACCACACCTGGCTTTTTTGTATTTTTAGTAGAGGCAGGATTTCAACATGTTGGCCAGGCTGGTCCCAAACTTTTGACCTCAGGTGATCCACTGACCTCGGCCTCCAGAAGAGCTGGGATTACAGGCGTGTGCCACCACGCCAATGGGTCTTGATTGGCCTGGCTAGGTCATGTGCTCATGCCTGAGCCAATCATAGCAGCCAGGGAGCTGGGGAGCTCCGATTGGCCAGACCCGGATCATGTGCTAGTCAGGGATGAGGATGCCCCAAGATAACCATGTGGAGGTGGGTGTTGGGGAGAGGTTCCTGTAGAAGGATGCTGGACTGACAAATAAGGCCCTCATCATTCAAGTTCAGTGTTGCTTCAGACTTCACTTGTTTTGGGGGCCCTCCTCTATAGGGACTGTCTCCTGCTCTATGGCCCAGCAGCAGACTGTATTCCCTGTCATCCATCCATTCTTTACGAAACAAATATTTAATGAAAGGAAAAAGGCGAGGAAGAGTCTTGATGACAGGTTGAAAGCCGCAGAGGAGACTGACGGGGAGTGACCTCTGAGGTAGGAGAAAGACTAGGTGAACTGGAGTCCCTAGGTCCAGAGAAGTGAGGGAGTTTCTAGGAGGAGTGGTCGACTCAGCTGCTGCTGAGCTCAGCGAGAACAAGTAGTGACCCCAGCTTGGGCAGCGGAGACTGTGGGTGACTCCTTAGCAGGAGTTAAGGGGTGGGGACGCAGCCCTGCCGGGAAGGGGTGAAGAGAGACTGGGACAGTGCGGGTGGAGGAGGCCAGTGTAGGCAAGTCTTCGGAGATGACTGCGAGGGGAGGGAGAAATGGCCAGAGGCAGGAGAGGGCTGGGGGCAGGGGTCGGCCCAGAGAGAGGCTGATGGCACTGAAAAGCATCCAGGGGCGGGCAGCAGCGGGAGGGGATCCTAGGCCTGAGGAGGAGGTGGGTGCCCAGCAGGGAGGTTTGTCAGTTTGGGGACTGGGAGAGGAGAAAAATCCTGAAGGCTTTCGTTTTTCTGTAAGAATGAGGTAAGGCCACGGGCTGGGAGCCCAGGCAGAAGGGGCTGTGGGAGGTGTAAGGAGAGGGGAGCAAGCATGAGGTCTCAGTTTCAGAGTGGGAGTCTCACCGAAAAACATGGTAGGGCTGCCGGCTTTGTGGATGCGTTAGAAGTGTGGGATCACAAATTCCCAATCCCAGGGCTGTGTGTGGAGCCCTCTCTCTAAGCGATGGGAAAGCGGGTATCCTTAAGGTTGGGGTTGCCTATGCTGGAAGGAGGGATTCTATTATAATCCATCAGGCCAGGAGGTAGGTACTATTTTCTGTATTTTACGGTTGCGAAATCTGAGAGGTTCAGACCAATGTAGTATTCGTGTACCATTGGGGTCAAACTAGAACAGGGCCTGGCATGTATTAGGTGTTAATGTTCGTTGCAAAAAAATAAAACTATGCGTGTAGCCGGGCGCGGTGGCTCACGCCTCTAATCCTAGCACTTTGGGAGGTCGAGGTGGATCACCTGAGGTCAGGCCATCATGGTGAAACCCCCATCTTTAAATAAAAAAAATAAAAGAAGAAGAAAAAGAATGTGTGTAAAGTCCACTGCTGCGCCCCTACTGGTAGGCAAGCCTGGAAGTGGCCTCAGCCTTGGGGGCTGGTAGGTAGACGAGGGTGGCCCTGTGTGCTCTGCCATCCCTGCTGCCTTCATGACCCAGTATCAGCTTTGTGACCTTGCAGGTGGATCCTTCCAGAGTCTGGTGGTAGAACTTTGTAGATAGGTAACTAACAGAGCGAGGCAGCGTGTTCTGGACCACATCCCACACAGGGCTCACCTCCGGATGAGTCAGGGGCCTCAGCCAGGGGCCCTGCCCCAGGAATGCCACCCCGGTTCTGTACCCTGCCTAGGCGAGCTGACGGGGCGTTATCAGGGCACACACCTGCAGCATCCAGAGCCCTCCAAGGAGAGGAAGGTCCTGTAGAGGAGAGTCCAAGAGCTGCGACCTGAACGTAGTGGGGGCAGGGCTTCTCTACCAGGAGGGCTAGGCAGAAGTGAATGTGGTCTCTTCAATAAAGTTAATAGTAATGGTTCATACTGCAGAAAACGTGCAGGAGAAAATCCTGTTTATTCCGGCTTTAAAACCATAGAACTCCCAAATTCTCCCTGTAGCGCTATTTATATCCAGAGCTGGTCCCCATATGAAGCTCAGGTTTGAAGTTAACTTAAAAGAAAAATAGCCATCCCTGCTTTAAAAAGATTTCCCGTATAGACCTCCACTAGTCTAATTACGAAGGGCGCGTTGTTTCGCGGTTGGTTGCGGGGAGGGGCATCGGGACCTCCAATGCAGTTACGCCCCTCAGCCCCTCAACAGCTGTGCGGCTGCCCGGTGGGCCCTCTCCAGGGCAGCGGCTCCCAGACTGGCCTCAGCCGACCCCACCCGCCCGCGCCCCGTGTTCTTCCTCGCCCGGGTGCTGGGGGGAGTGGGGAGGCGGGGCGGGCAGCAGATCCGGAAAAGTGGCTGTTCTCGCCCCGGAGGAAGTTGACCCTTCTCCTTCGCCGAGAGCTTGGGATGAAAACAGCTTCTTCCTCTTTACCCTTCCAGGACCCCCCACCCCAGGACGACTCGGCCCCTTCATTCATCCTCCAGCGGCCATCCCGGTGGCTCGGGCGTTCCCACGCGGGGACTCTGTACCCCGGGGGCCCGCGGGGATCCTCCCTCAGGCCTTCGCCGCAGCGGCGAGCCCCGCACCCAGGCCACCCCGGGGGCCCCCGGCCTCCCCCACCCAATTAGCGGGCAGCACCACGGACCCGAGTCCCCACGCGGCTCGCGTCGGAGGAGGCGGCCGCCTGGGAAGCCCGTCCCCCGCGTCGCGGCCCCCGCCCCCGCGAGCCCCGCATCCCCTGGGAAAGGCGGGGGCGCAGCGAGTTTCCCCCAATTAGTTTCCTCTTTGTATGGAGTCTCAGCGCGCCCGTACCCCTCCGCGCAGCGGAAAGTAGTCCCGGCCGGGCGCTCCGCGGCTTCCCAGCGCCGGGCCCGTTTTACTTTGAGAAGCCGACGGGACTCTCGGTGGGGTCCTTCGGAGTGGGGCAGGGGCTGCGGGAGGCTTGCGCGGGCCGCAGGGGCGGGGACCCCGGGGAGGGGGTGGGGAGGGCCGCGAACTCCTCGCCGCTGCCTGAAGAGATGGATCATGGGGCGTAGGGAGATGGCAAACCTCAAACCACGTACGGCGGGCGATACGCGTCAACCGAACCTCGCCAACGGAAGCCCGGAGCCGCCCCTCCCCGCTCCCCCGCCCCGCCGCCCCGGACGGACGGGCGCGCGGAGCCAACCCCGCTGCCGCTCGCCGTCCAAATCCCAGCAGAGCCAATGGGAGCGTGAGGAGGGCGGAGCCACCTCGCGTCACGTTGGGCTGCGCTACCCCCGGCGCCCGTGCAGGCCCCGCCCCTGCCTCCTCCCCTCCCCTCTCGCTGCTCCCGGAGTAGTTGGTGCCAGTGAAGTGAGGGCGGCGATGAGAGCGAAAGTTGCGCTCGGCTCGGCGCTGGGGGCTTGAACCGGCTCCGCGCTCTGCCTGTCTGGGCCTCCCCGTGCTCGGACTCGCGCCCGTGGGGTCCCGGCCCGCCCGCCTGGCCCTGCGCCCGCCCCGCACCCCCTCCCCCGGCTTTGCGCCCCCTCCTCAGGAGTCGCGGGTCCCCGCCACTTTCGCACAGCCCCGGCCCCCGTCGATGCCGGCCATGGTGGAGAAGGGCCCCGAGGTCTCAGGGAAGCGGAGAGGGAGGAACAACGCGGCCGCTGCCGCCTCCGCCGCCGCCGCCGCTGCCTCCGCCGCCGCCGCCTCGGCCGCCTGCGCCTCGCCCGCCGCCGCCGCCGCCTCGGCCGCCGCCGCCGCCTCCTCCGCCTCGACCGCCGCCGCCTCGGCCGCCGCCGCCCCCAATAATGGCCAGAATAAAAGTTTGGCGGCGGCGGCGCCCAATGGCAACAGCAGCAGCAACTCCTGGGAGGAAGGCAGCTCAGGCTCGTCCAGCGACGAGGAGCACGGTAGGTGGCAACCGCCCCCGCGGCTCCGGGCCCCGCGCCCCGCGCCCCGCTGACCGCCGTGCTCTGCTTCCCTCGCAGGTGGAGGCGGCATGAGGGTCGGACCCCAGTACCAGGCGGTGGTGCCCGACTTCGACCCCGGTGAGTAGTGCCCCCGGCCAGGGCCGCGCGCAGAGTCCCGGCCGGCCGGCGGCGGGGATGAGCGGGAGCCCCGGGTCCCCGGCGAGCCCGTGGGGGCGGGAGCCCGCCGACAACTTTCTTTTTGTGTGTGCGTTCGCCCTGCCGTCCGCGGGGAGAACAGCAGGGCGAGGACGAGGCGGCGCACACGCACACGAGTGTTCTGCAAACGTGTCTTTGCAACCGGGGGAGGCCGGGTCGCCCCCAGCCGGGCCGGCGCCGCTGCCCCCTACGCCTCCGAGGACTTCGGGTGGCGTCGGAGGTGGCCACACCTGGCCTGGGGTCGCTGGGAGTCCCCGCGTCCAGGTGAGCTGCGCCTCGGCCAGGGGTAAGGGTGGTAGTGCCGGAGAGTTAGCGTCCTGCGAGTGCCCCAGACTTAGGAGGTTCCCGGAGACCCCTTTCTCGGAACCCTTCCCAGAGGCTGCTCCCCACGCCTTTGCTCCTCTTTGCAGCTTCGGGGCTTTTGCTGGCTCCTGACTCCCCTCGCATCCAGAAGGCAAGTAGAAGAACGACCCTCAAGATCAGTCAATAAAAGAAGTGTGTTTTCCAGAGGGCGCCTGCCTGGGGAAGGGAGCCTCGCATGTGGCAGTTTGATTTTAGGACCTATTTGTAAATGTGTGTATTTCCTTTTTTTTGGAGGAAGAGAATGTGAAATTGAGAACCATTAAAAGCTTTAGCCTAACAAATGCATTTCACCTACACGAAAGCCCTACACCCTAGAATGGAACATTTACTCCCCTGGCTGCTATTCTGTGTGGATCAAATTTAAAGTGGTACAAGAAAAAAAATCCAATCAGACAAAGGAATTCGTCAGATTTTAGTGCATGAGATTCTAGCCGGTCTCTGTATGAGACTGTCTTTAAGGGTTGTTGGTATGGAAAATGAAAGAACATAGGATTTATTTCAGAAATAAAATTTAAAAGAGCATCTTGTGAAGCTGGAGTTAACAATCCTCCCTGGTTGGAGGGCTTTAGAGCTGGGGTTCTCTATGTAGGCTATACCACTAGTTTGTTTGAAAAGATAAATGCATAAATATTTTTCCTTGGAAACAAGACTGTAGAAAATTGCAATGATTTAGTACTTGAAAAAGGCGATTGGTATCAAGCTGTTACTAAGGTACTGAACTCTGTACTTTGAAGTGGAAATACGTAGAGGTCCTGGGTGAGGTCTTGGACACTCTGGAAATTAATGACTTTTCCTAAGTTGGCCTTCTAAATTTTGATTTGTTGACTTAAATCTGTTAAGTTTGTTTGTCTGACACTCAGGTTTGTGTTCCTTTTAAGGCCATGTTAGTGCTTTTGATAGTTCCCCTTCTCCCCCAATTCTTTTTTTTTTTTTCTGGTAGTCACTTCTCATTTGTGAGTGATAGGATAGAACTAGGTGGCCAGGCGATTTCTCTTGTGTGCTTGGCTCCTCCATTCCTTGATTGGCCACCAGGGGAAGCATACTGTTTTTTGGTTACAGTTGACCCTGTCTTCATTTTGTAGGTCAAGTCTATCTTTGCTTTAAAGCACAGAACAAAAAGCCTGTCATCAAGTTTCCCTAATGTAGTACTTTAAAACGTCGACTTGCACAGATCTTTGAGTAAGTTAGTAGGCTTTTTGATACATTTTTGTTAACATTAATTTTGAAAACTTTTATGTTGGATGTGACTAAGGAAAAGGGCGTATTTGTCAGCAGCAGGAATTAGGTTTCTGATATTCATCAAAATAGTGATGTCAGCTCTGCATTGTTAGTAATGAGTCTGACTTCTTTGGAGTTGTACTTTTCTTTGAAACAGCAAACGTAATATTTTGAACTGTTCTTGCACTTTTTGTTGGAATAGGTATGAGCATAAACTTGCTAGCGACCAGCTATTCTAAAATGAAAAACATCTAGCGGATTGCAGTAGCTCCCAACACTTGAGGAGGCCAAGGATGGAGGATCTCTTGAGCCCAGGAGTTGGAGACTAGTCTGGGCAATGTAGAAAGACTCTGTCTCTACAAAAAATAAAAAAAATTAGCTGGGCATAGTGGTATATGCCTGTAGTTTCAACTACTTGGGAGGCTGAGGCTGGAGGATTGCTTTGAGCCTGGGAGGTCAAGACTGCAGTGAGCAGTGATTTCACCATTGCACTCCAGCCTGGGTAACAGAGTGAGAGCCTGTCTCAAAAATAAAAAGGAAAACATCTAACTGTTCTGCATAGCCTTGCTGCCAGTTGGTTGAGTCTTGATGGGAAAATTTCCAAATTTCATATTTTGTGTTTTAATCTGGAAAGGAATTTAACTGGTATAAAGTAATTTCACACCCTGTTTTGCCAACCTGAGTAGGGGACACAGTCCTAGATATGCATGGAAATTGAGACTTTACTATTTCCTATTGGTTTTATGTGTCTTCTCATTTAACTCAAAGTTTAAGGGAAAGAAAGACTTCCATTTTGCAATAGAAATGATACAACATGTTTGTTATGGCAAAATCTTTTCTTAGCTCTTTAAGACTTAAGAGAGGTTTTTTTCATGACTGCAAGTTAAGAGTAGTGAATTGAGGAATAAATTGATTAAGAATTGAGAGTTTGATCCTTGCTGCTTTTTATTTCTTCGTGTTTTTTTCTTTTTCTTTTTTGAGACCAAGTCTCTATCTGTTGCCCAGGCTGGAATGCAGTGGCGTAATCTTGGTTCACTGCAACCTCTGCTTTCCAGTTTCAAGTGATTCTTCTGTCTCATCTTCCCGAATTGCTAGGTTTACAGTTGTTGACCATGTTGACCAGGCTGGTCTTGAACTCCTGACCATAGGTGATTTGCACCCCTTGGCCTCCCAAAGCTCTGGGATTACAGGCATGAGTCACCATGCCTGGCCCCTGCTTGACTTTTTAAGTGTATTTTTGTTCTTCTCTTTTACTGGAATTTGAACAGAGGGGTAGATGTGAAACTTAACAGAAAACTTTTTCTTTCTTTCTTTTTATTATACTAAAATAAATAATAAGTGTGGTAGAGATGCACGAATGAAAGAATTTGACTTTTTTTTTTTTTTTTTTTTTTTTTTGAGATGGTGTCTTCCTCTGTCACCGAAACTGGAGTGCAATGGCATGATCTTAGCTCACTAAAACCTCCGCCTCCCAGGTTCAAGCCATTCTTCTGCTTCAGCCTCCTGAGAAGCTGGGATTACAGGCATGTGCCACCATGTCTGGCTAATGTTGGTGTTTTTAGCAGAGATGGGATTTTACTGTGTTGGTCAGGCTGGTCTCAAACTCCTGATCTCAGGTGATCTGATTGCCTTAGCCTCCCAGAGTGCTGGGATTATAGGTGTGAGCCACTGCGCCCAGCTTGATATTTTTTAAAGTCAGATTTTACTTATTTGCTGTATGCCAGCTTGACCCTATTTAGCTTTAAAAGCAAATGATTGGAGCTACCTGATATTTCCTGTACAGTCCAAAGGAAGATTTAATTCTGTTATCCTTTACAAATAGTGAATGAGGTGATAGAGCAATATTTTTTTGTTTTTGAGATGGAGTCTTGCTCTTTTGCCAGGCTGGAGTGCAGTGGCATGATCTCAGCTCATTGCAACCTCCGTCTGCCAGATTCAAGTGATTCCCTTGCCTCAGTCTCTTGAGTAGCTGGGACTACAGGCACACGCCACCACACCTGGCTTATTTTTTGTATTTTAGTAGAGACGGGGTTTCACCATGGCCAGGATGGTCTCAATCTCCTGACCTTATGATTCCGCCACCTTGGCCTCCCAAAGTGCTGGGATTACAGGCTTGAGCCACTGTGCCCAGCTGGTAGAGCCCTTTTGTCCTAAAATGCCAATTCAGTTCTTAACAATTAAGACCCAGACTAGGTCGATGGAATGGCATAGCTTGGAATTTAGAATACTTTCATTTCTGTTTACAGTGAAAAAAAAAGTTTTACCAACTTTTGAAGAGTTAAAAACAAAAGCCAAAGTGCAGCCCTACACTTTTGACTTCAGCTTTGTAGTTGCATGTGCCATGCAGATTGTCTTTCCATGTTCTCTGCCATAGATTATGCTGAGCGGTCATTGGTTTCTTTTAATATTCAGTAGTTACAGGATAACAGGATAAGAGGAAGGATGCTTGTTTATCCTACCTCTGTTTAGTTCTTTTCTACACTAGCAAAGCATCACTTAATGTGAAATGAATAATGTTTTTCTTTTCTTTGAGGCAGGGTCACACTCTGTTACCCAGTGCAGTAGTGTGATCATGGCGGCAGTGAACTGCAACCTCTGGGTGCATGCCATCCTCCCGCCTTAAATAGCTGGAGCTACAGATGCACACCACCATGCCTGACTAGTTTTATTATGTTTTTTGTAGAAATTGGTTTTGCCATGTTGTCCAGGCTCGTCTTGAACTCCTGGGTTCAAGTGATCTGCCTGCCGTAGCCTCTCAACGTGCTGGGAATATAGCTGTGAGCCACTGTGTTCAGCCACTATTATTACTATTTACTCTTCTTTTTTTTTTTTTTGAGGCATAGTTTTGTTCTTGTTGCCCAAGCTTGAGTGCAATGGCGTGATCTCCGCTCACCACAATTTCTGCCTCCCGGGTTCAAGTGATTCTCCTGCCTCAGCCTCTGGAGTAGCTGGGATTACAGGCATGTGCCACCACACCTGGCTAATTTTGTATTTTTAATAGAGACGGGGTTTCTTCATGTTGGTCAGCCTGGTCTTGAACTCCCAGTCTCAGGTGATCCACCGGCCTCGGCCTCCCAAAGTGCTGGGATTACAGGTGTGAGTCACTGTGCCCGGCCCTTTTTTTTTTTTTTTTTTTATTTTTTTTTTTTGAGGCGGAGTTTCACTCTTGTTACCCAGGCTGGAGTGCAATGGCGCGATCTCGGCTCACCGCAACCTCCGCCTCCTGGGTTCAGGCAATTCTCCTGCCTCAACCTCCTGAGTAGCGGGGATTACAGGCATGCGCCACCATGCCCAGCTAATGTTTTTTTTGTATTTTTAGTAGAGACGGGGTTTCACCATGT